TGGTTGAGGATGAGGAACTGCTGCTGGTCGTTGATGAGCTAGAACTGCTGGAGGTGCTTGTGCTTGTGGTGCTGGTTGAAGAGGATGTTTGTGTTGTACTCGAGGTCGAAGTGGTTGAGGATGAGGAACTGCTGCCGGTCGTTGATGAGCTAGAACTGCTGGAGGTGCTGGTGGTAGTCATTGATGTTGAGGATGTTGACGTTGTTGTGGCAGTTGAGGAGGTAGAGCTTGTCAGCGTGGCGGTAGACGATGTGCTGCTCGTTGCGGTGGCACTTGTGCTGGATGTGGTGACTGATGACGCCGTTGTGGATGATGACGTTTGGGATGTCAAAGTGGTCCTCAGTGCTCAACCACCTCTGAGTACGCACCACCTACCGACGGAGATACAATGGCTCAAGCACGCTCGGCTCGGAAGGCTTGCTGGACTTCATGTTGGACAACATGTCAGGACTTATAAACTTAAACATGTACAACATAAAAACCTGGATATACCTGGATCATCCAATCGGGTCACGAATATCTGAATACCAAGGGATAACCTCCACTAATTACCCTCCACTGGGCCTCCATTGGACACCCATTCGATGATGATTTTGGTTGTACACGACCATAAAAGTATCCCCTTCCATACCCTTCTCATAAATCAACCAACTGTGCGGCCGCAAAAGGCCATCATTCAGTCATCTATGAGCTCCATTGTGCCCCCATTTCTTCTTACCTTCTGCGAATCGTCACCCACTCTTGTTTGCTCGAGCGGCGTGGTGGGAGGGATCCAAATCCAATCGCTGAAACCTCCGTTTCGGCGCCGTCCGTGCGAGGTGCGATGAAACGGCAGAAGTTGGTCGAATGGTGCACGAGCGGTGGAGAACAAAACGGTCGTTGCGATGAAACGGCGGAAGTTCTGAGGATGCACTTTGAGGAGAAACCTGTATGGACCCCTTTGGGCACAACAGGTTGCTGAAAATCAACAGATCAAGTATACTTCATGGTGAACATATTAAAGAGTCAAAGAGTAAAGAGTCAAAAAACATCATTTTAAAACATGTGATGCTGTTCCACCGTCTTTTTCCATGACCTGAGAAACATATGTACAGCATTGTACAGCTATACTGTAGTACATAATTCACATGTTTTTGAGTACATTGTCCCCACTTATGGGCTCTTTTCCTCAAGAAGGCCTTGTCAACTCACCGGCATGGCCGACGTCCCCGGCTTCTCCATTGGGTCAACCGGACCCGACGCATCACACGGGACCCGACGCATCACGGCGGGACCCGACCGCATCGCCTACGGAGCTCGAGGAGTTGGAACGGCCGTTGGGGTTGGCAGCGTAGACCAAGACGAAGGTTTCGTTGGCCAAGGTGCCCTGAAATGGGCCGCGAAGAATACGAAGAATTGATGAGAGTGGCGGCTGAGGATGCCGCATTTGGCGGGGCTCAGTGAGAACAGAAACCCGCTTTGCGGCATTACAGCGGGGGGAATTGGAGGAGTGGAGTGACTTCAATATGGACATATATGGACTTAGATATACTTAGTGTGTCCAAGAGGTGAGACTTCTCCATCACAGTAGGGCTTTGCAAGTCAACTGTTACATGATCCCCAGACACTCCATGTATGGCATATTTACCTACATTGGGGTAGTTTGAGGGGTCAATGTAGGCATATATGACAGACATGGAGTGTCTGGGATCTTTGATAAGCAAATGTGGATTCATGTGGATAAGTTCTTCGCATGCGAACGTGAGTGCCTTTGTGCACATGACCGGCATCGCATGTTTTTTTCTCTCAAGAGGTATTATCCCGAGAACCCCGGAGGCAATTCATCATGTACTCAAGAAATACCATGCCAAATAGAACCTGACATGCGCAGGCCGAGGCTCATTGGGAATGGTGTACGACGAGGAGGTGGCTTCCACCGTCACCAGCAGCCGTTCGTTGCTGCCCTGGTCGTCGTCGGCGAGGAAGATTTGGAACTCGGAGACAAAACCTCGGTGCGGAACGCTTCGGTGACGAGAGGTTTACCAGCCTCCATCGCAGTTCCCAGCAATGCTGTTGTATTTTTTCAACTCAAGGAAAAAGGAGCCTGGTGCAGGATCTGTATTATGTGCGTGGCCTTCATGTGCTTTCAAATTGAGCTACTACACGATCTACCAACAGAATCTGATCGACATATTCTGAGATCAACACTAGCCCAAAACAATCCAACACAATCTACCGTTGGCCCCGAACTCGACCAGTTTGGAGCTCCACCCCACATCTCGAAAGTGGACAAATATTCAGTCCTCTCAATTGGGTATAGCAAAGGGCTACACTATATATATATATATTAATTATATAATATATACTATATGGTCCTTCCTTCTTTGCAGCCAAAGGTCTGTTATCATGAGACCGAACTCAAAAGACCTATTAGGTGGCTGGAGGTGGTTTCTTTCTTTCGTTCTTTCCATGGACATAGGTGGCTGTAGGTGGTTTGAAGATGCAAACAGCGGAAGAGCCAAGAGCAAGATCCTTATGGCCTTGATCTCATTTTCTTCCACAGCTATGGCCTATGCAACCCATGGCCAAAATTAGAGGCATGTGCTCAGGTTCACTCCAAGCGTCTGATTAGGCCTAACCTCCATCCACTCCATCCTCTCCCATCCTCCTCTCTCCATCCGTCCCTCCAGGTGGCCATAGTCTTCACCGTCCCGTCGCTCCCAACTCACGGCCCCTCCGATCTCGCCCTCCGTGTAGTCCTCGTCGGCGAACTGGACGTTCGTGACCTCCGCGACGGCCACCGGCGACCGGGCTAAGCGGGCTAAACGGTCGATGAAGCGGATCGGCACAGCATGCGCCGTTGAGGGCACAGCATCGAATGCGGCACAGGTGATGAAAAAGCTGGGTGGTTTGAAGGAGATTCCCCACTGTTAAATGGTCGAATTGAAGTGCACGTATAGTGCCATGGAACAGTGCGGAAATTCCGGGCCCCTCTGATCCAATTGGTCAAGTGGATTGGGAAAACCACTCCCAAAAATGGTTTCGCGGAACATCTACAGGAAAGCCAGAGTTTGGGGGATGAAAGGTTTCCGCAATCTCCTGCAGGATGTTCTCTTGAACCCCTTCAACGACTGGATTGGAAGGCTCTAAGATATGCGCTGAAACTGCAGCAGTCTGAGACCGGTTTGTGCGAAGTACGCAGTGAGCGAAGTATTTACGCAGTGCAGCTCGTCTACAGCTACGCGGTGCTGGTATTCTGAATGAATCTCTGCCATGACTCTCGTGCTTGGACATCTATAGTGGACATCTAGTGGGTGGACTTGTATACTACTCCACTAGTTGCAGGGCTTAGTAATTACTGGGCTTATTTGTCTTTGATGTGATGCAAGATTTCCAAAACTCCACCAGAAAGTGATGCTTCACAAGGCAGAAGGCCTCAGAATCAGCATTGGTTCCTGGGCCAGGACTGGTGGCCAGACCAATGAAGATCAGAATCAGCATTCAGAACCGATCAGCAACCCCCCGAAGAAGAACCGATCAGATCTCCACACATGTTTTCACAGCCAGCCGGTCCGTCGGATCTCCGACTCTCAGCCGGTCGCTAGAAAGCGCCCTCTCTTAGCGCCGCACTGTGATATCTCCCACCGTCCGGCTCGACTTGTCATAGATGGCCACCTCAGTTTTCCAGAGTCCCAGTCCTCCCACTCCCAGCGGATTGTGTCACAGAGTCTGCACCAAATCCAAATAACGGTGCCCTCAGAATGCCGGTGGTATGTGAATCTTTAACTTGGGCCAGGATCACCCCCCCAAAAAAAAAAGAATACACACCCACTTAAAAACTCACATACAAACTCAAATGACTCCAGTGTGCTGCGGTTGTTTTCGATGCTGCCGGCATGATGGTTCACTCGCGCTCCTTAAAACGCCGCTGCCGTCAACGCCCTGCCGCCGTGACACGAAGGCCGCCTTCGCAAACATCTCCCAGATTTGTTCATCCTCGAAGAATGGTGCGATGTGAAACCACACCGGGAGAAGCTGAGACCGGAAGTCTTGGTTGTGGCATGGACATCATGGAAGTCTAGCAGGGTGAGATGGTGGTCTTCTACCAACCCCCAGTGGTTTTGCAGCATTCCATGTGGGTCTCCACTTGGACGAACCGTCTGACGTTTTGACCCCTGGGGACATCCGGCGGAGGCAGGTCGAAGCTGTCCAGGTGCGGCAGAACCGAACCTTTGGCACCATCTGAGAAGACTCGGTACAAACCAAGCCCTTCTAAAAGCTTCGCCTTCTATAGAAGGAATCAATATTTCAATTGCCTTTCATCTCTTTAAATCAACAGTGACCCAGCTACTCAAAGCTTCAGCCCTTTCGTTCTCAGTCATGTACTCCATCATGAAAATGTTCACGACTTGTTCGGCTTCCCACTTTTCTCATACCAAGCAACAGCACGGTGAGAGAGAACCATTAGCCACTCTCCGTAGTTTCCGTTCCCCAAGTCACCTGAAGAGCAACGGTTTTGATGCGATGCTGATGCTCCGTCGAACAATTCCTCATCGAAAGCACGAGAACCGCCAGAACCGCGCGAGTCGACACGAGTCGGCATGTCCAACGAGCCGTATTTTGCAGTAAACTGTCAACCTCCGTAGACCGACCGATACCGACCGATCTCCACCCAATGTCCACATCAATCAATCACAAGCGACACCCATGCTCGTTGTCTCGCCCATGCGTCTCATCCTCTCGTTTGAACTGTCCGAGGGCACGCGAGATGTTGGGCGAGATCAGCATCTCATTGGTGCCGATGGGGACAGCGGCATCCTGTTTCCAGGGCGACTTCGCGTCCGTTG